GTGGCAGTTTGGGATGGTTTTGTGTTGTCTTAGCTATGGAAGGGCAGACATGGGTGGAAAGTTACCATAATTGCCCTTGGAGCTAGAGACTGATTACTAAAATATGGTAATAATTGCTTCCAAGCTACCTGTAAAATTCTGGATTTATTTCCCTTGATTTGCACAGAAGATGGATTCATCAAGTCAGCAGTCACTTCCTTGTGTTACAGCTAAGTGTCAGCCATCAGTCTTGGGGGGTGCGTGTTGCGATCCCTCTGTACTTGCTGAACCTGTTTATCCGTGATGTGTAAGCCAGCTTTGATGGCAGTGTAAACATGACAGTTTATTTCCTTTCAAGCTTAACTCTGAAAGCCAGTATCTGTTTGGTGAATGAACGGAGGGGTTGTTCTCGGGTTGGTTTGAGGTTTTGGTTTTGTAATGCTCTGCGCCCTTCCCCTTACCCCTTCCTGTGTTCAATGTAATTCTGACCTTTAGGGTTTATTTTAACTGCAGATTCAGGGCAATATTACTCCTCACGCCATTGTCATCCTGCCTAAAACAGACGGGATGGAGATGCTTGTGTGCTATGAGGATGAAGGCGTATATGTGAACACCTATGGACGGATAACTAAAGATGTGGTGCTCCAGTGGGGAGAAATGCCTACTTCCGTGGGTAGGTCAGCCCTTCTTCTTCACTTGCATAGGATACAAGTGACAAGCAAAATGAGGAGTCAAGAATGTTGAGATGGAGTCATTTGGGGTTTTGTTTGTCAAAGGAGATTTCTCTGTTAAATAAGAGATACAGTTACTGAATTTCTACAATCTGGTCCTCCATAATAAAAGCAAGTGATTTCCTGAATATTTAAGCTCTGGTTTATCTTAAGTATAAGATAATATAAGCTGTTGCGCTGATGGAATACTGTGTTGAGTGGAAGAGGGGCTGGGTACGGAGCTGGGCACACATGGGTTGCTCTTCTGGCTCTGCTGTTGCTCAGCTCCACGGCCCATGGAGGCAAGCTACTGCCCAGCTCCTCACCCACAGAAATCAGAAGTGATACTTGTTGTTTAAATTACTCAGCACTTTGTAGATGAAAATTAAAGGCTACTGTCCCCGCAGGCACACTCCTGGCTGCTTGTGCCTCTGGCAGAGCTCTGCCATTTATCTTTGTAGGCTTTGAGTAACAGTTGAGGGTTTTTCTGCCTGTTGTGTAATATTTAGCTCAACACACATTGTAACACCTACCAAATGCTTCCTTTTGACAGCCTACATTCATTCCAATCAAATAATGGGCTGGGGAGAGAAAGCTATTGAAATCCGGTCAGTGGAGACAGGACATTTGGATGGAGTATTTATGCACAAGCGAGCTCAAAGGTTAAAGTTTCTATGTGAAAGAAATGATAAGGTAAGTCCACTTCAAAGCTTGTATTCCATGCTTTAAGCTACAAGCTACTTTCAGACTTCAAATCTGGTTTATCTTGGGGTTAGTAATTAATCTGAAGGTCCTGTTTAATAAGCAGTGCCCATAAACCACTCCAGTTAATTCTCTAAAGTGGATGCAGACCTCAACCTGTGGTGGGAAGATCTCTTCCACCTCTTGCTGAGATCTGCATTGACTTGGCTTGACTCTCCCAAGTCTTGCATCTGAACATTAACTATTGAGGCTGCCGAGTAAACCCTGCAGAAGTTGAGAAATGGTGGCAGTAAGGATGTGTGAGTGACCCTGATTTGAGCTCTTGTGCAGAAACATTTTGATGCATTTTTAGATGCATTTTGATGCATCTTAGAAACTGTTTTCTCCATGGAGCCCCACTTTTTCTGTGTACAGCACTGAGAAATTCTGCCCTGGAGAGTAACCAAGGTTGCATGGGGAATGCAGCTGTCATGTACATGACCCCTGTCATGGATATTGCTGATGCGCAAAGGGTGCAGGGAATGAGGGAATGAGAAATTGCCAAAGGAAAGGAATGTTTGCATGGAAAAAATGGTTGAATGCCAAGGTCTGTTTCTGCTCTTGATAATTGCTCGTCTCACGAGGTTTCACCAAGATGAAATAGGACCATGCAGCAGACTTCCTTTGTAATGAGCACAGTCACAAAACATGCGAGGAAGGTGATTGCTCTGTCCCCAGAGCAGGGTTTAATATTGTGCAATAAAGAAGGTTTGAGACCACGTTGAGTTATTGCACTCATTGCTCATTAGTTGAACATTGCCCTACCCCTTGCATGGAGTTAGACTGGAGCTCTGCAGGAAAAATAGATCCTAACTTTGCAATTGAGTTTACCACAGGAAGCTGCCTCAAGAAGATGAATTTTAGTTGCTGAAATATCCCTAATTTGCTTTTTTCCTGATTTTGGAGTACTTGGCTCTGCAGGCTTTATACTGCTGGGTTTTTTTGGAAGAGTTATTTTTCTCGTTTGCTCCTGTTGATTTTTTTTTTTTTTTTTTGGTCCTTTTTCTAAGAAAACTGAGGAAAAAAGCCCACCTCAATCTTTCTAAAATACTGGGACCAGCTGATCGCTGGTGGGTCTGAATTACTAAAACCAGGGGGCCTACAAGAAATCTGGAGAGGGACTTTTTACAAGGGCCTGTAATGACAGTACAAGGGGGGATGGCTTTAAACTGACAGAGGGGAGATGTAGACAAGATACTAGGAAGTCGTACTTCCCTGTGAGGGTGGTGAGACACCGGCACAGGCTGCCCAGAGAAGCTGTGGCTGCCCCATCCCTGGCAGTGTTCAAGGCCAGGTTTGACAGGGCTTTGAGCAACCTGGTGTAGTGGAAGGTGTCCCTGCCCATGGCAGGGGGTTGGAACTGGATGAGCTTTAAGGTCTCCTCCAACCCAAACCACTCTGTGATACTATGAAAGTCATGCGAAGATTGAGTAATTTTTGGTTTTAAAAAGGACAGAGGCTTCAGATAGTCCCTTGCAATATTTGCAAGTTATAACTTTTATTTTTTAAGTCTTCCATTAGGGTCAAATGTTAGGTGAATCCTAACAGAAGCACCAAAACCTGTATTCTTCATACAGAGTCTAGTCTGTGGTTTGAGCGTATTGAAGGAAAGTAGTTTTCCCAAGCTTTACTTTCAGGAACAGCTGAAATACCAGGACTGACTTTTCTGAAGAAAACCATTTCACACCGATGCAGATGTTTACCCAAATGGTTAATATTTAGCAAGCTACAAACCACTAACAGCAGCCTTCTTAATATTGCATAATAAATGGTGCTGTGTAAAATGTGATAAACTCAGTGTTTTTATTACTGTGTTTACTAATAAGTGGTTTGATTTGATCTGAGTCTGGCATGGGTTAGCTCCAGTTCCTGAGCTCTGTGGAGAAACAAGAACCTGGCAGTGGGTCCACATACAATTTTCGCTGTCAGCTGGAGAGCAGGGAGGGAAGTTTAGGCAGAGGACACCACAGGGTGTGGGGCAGCTCCTGCTTTCTTTGCTCATCAAGACAATTAACAGATAAAAACCACTAATAAGGGGGTTTTTGTGCTTCCAAACAGGTATTTTTTGCATCAGTGCGATCTGGAGGAAGCAGCCAAGTGTTTTTCATGACCCTCAACAGAAACTCCATGATGAACTGGTAACAGAGGAGCACTTGGCAGTCACCGCCATGGCATTATTTCTAATTTAAAGGACATTAAACACGTGGACTAACACTGTAGAGGCAGATGCGGAGGGCGCCAAGGAACATCGCTCCCCACGCTCGCCCAGCGCCATCAGCCCTGGGGCAAGGGCTGCTGGCAGGGATGGACTTTCGCGCTTGGACCCCCCAAGGTCTCCTGATTACGCTGTGTTATAGTGGGTTATGAGTTCTCCCTTATTTTATTTCAATTTTTTTTATTTTACTTTTTCTTTATCCCCTACTTTGTAAGAACGGGGAAAGAAACAGTGTCCAAAAGTCTGTTTTTAATTCTGTCTGCCTGCTAGCATCAAATATATAGTATGTTGTAAAGTTACCAATTAAATCTGGTGAGAGACAGCACAATAAATGTACCTTTTATCTTTGTGATGAAGGCCATAACCATATAGCTGGGTAATTTTAGAAATCTTTTGCCTTCACCAACATTTACATGTTGCTTTTGGCAGCAACGGCTTAATGGATTTTTAAAGACAAGAAAAAATAATAGGTTTTTTTCCCCTGTTTTGGGAAATGGATTTTAAATGGCTAAACTACTAGCCTTAGACTAATAAAAATCAGCTACCATTTTTGTCAAGTTTGTCAATCCATATTTCTATATGGATATTCACATAATGGTGTGTCTTGATAGGGACAGAGGTGCCATTTGTTGTTGCTCCAGCGGTGCCCATCTGCCCTGGGGCTCAGCCGCAGGTGCCAGGATGGGGGGATCGGAGGAGAGGACAAGTGGAGCGGTTGGAGGAGCCCCGCGCTTGCCCCCCAGTTGGGATTTGCAGCCACAGACAGCTCCCAGGTTGCTGCGGGCGCTGGACCCTGATGCCGCAGCTGGTGAGAGCTGTGGGCGCTTGTCCCCTCCTGATCCCAGAGCCGGGTGCTGGTGTGCAGAGGCAGCCAGTGTGGGGATGGGGACCACACCACGAGCTGCCTGTCCCCCGTGTTGCTGGATTGGGCTTGTAAAGAGCTTAAAAATATATATATATGTGTGGTTTCTTCGGACGAGGGTCTGAATCTACTCGTTTTCCACCCCCTCCGCTCCCTAGGAATTACCCAACATACAGTGAAAGACAACATCTGTGCCGAACCGTGTGTGTGTGTGTGTTTAGTTCAGGTTGAATCGTGTCCTTATAAACTCTGCTCAGTTGATTTCCATTTTCGGTGCGTATCTGGGGTTTTCTTTCTCAGTAGCTGCAAGCATGGCCGCCTGTGGTGTTGGGGTGTCGCATAACAAGGTCTGTGTTGCTGGTTTTAACCTACCTCGTTTCGGTTGGGGTTTGTTTTTTGGTTTGGTTTCTTTTATCTTTTTTTCCGTTCCGCTGTCGATCACAGCGCTGTTACCTCCAGCGACATATAGAGAGCTTAACTGGCAATCTTGGTGTACTCAGTAACGATGGCTTTATTAAAAAATGATTAAATCAACAGGACTTGGTCACACTCGAATCTTTATCAAGGGTAAGAGATGATGTGGGGTGGCGGGTATGGGATGGGCCACCCTCGCCCAAAGCATCCCATGGGCAGGGCATCACAGTTTGGTGCCGGCAGGGATCGCTGCAATGGGACTTATGGTGGGATGCAGTGTTCAGAGGAGCACAGGCAGGAAGGACCTTTGGGTGCCTTCTTCACCCACCAAGCAACCTCCCACTGTGCCAAGCGCAACCTGCCTAGCGCCCAGATAAGTGCCCAGCAAAGCACAGGGACGGCCATGAGACCACAACACTCAAACCACTTAAGACCCCATCTGAGCCCCATCACAGACACTGATTGCCAACAGCTCTTTATGTTTCTACTGTGGTTAGCATATAAAAGCATATAAAATTATGTTGCAAACTGGTGACTGGTTTTGGGTGTTTTGTCCCTCTTGAAGTGACAAATACACAGCTTTGGAAGGTGATTCTTTTATCGTAGAGTTTTGGGTACAATGACAAACAGAAGGGGATCGTTGTGTTTACACATAAGGTAGTTTGTGATTTTTTAAAATCTTAGCATCACTTGAAACAAAAATAACAAAAACTAGTATTAAAGGAGGCTTGTCTGTGGAGTGTGTATCTGAGCGTATCACAGAGCAAACACATTTCTGGTGCCAACCACAACAAAACACAAAACTTAAACATTCAGCCATGCCTTTTCTGTTTTGGTAAATAAAACCTGGGGTGTTCAGCAGGTGATGGAGGTCTAATGGCTTTTCAAGGCTCCGAGTAACAATTCCCTTTGCCTGGAGGTCTTGGTAAAGCAGTGGTTTTGGGCAGGATGAGTGCGGGTGTACAAGTATGTCCCCAGTGATGCTGCCTGGCAGCGAGCAGTGGCCAAGGGATGTCTCGATGAACCATCACCACCTGGAAACTTGTGTTCTTCTACAAATTCAACCCAGGACTATTACAAAGATGTGCTTTAATTTGTTTGTCTTTTGTTGTAAGTAAAATATGCTTGTGGGTGATCAGTGCTATCAGAAACTACTTAGGCTTAGTGTTTAAAGAAATAAAACATTGGGCTCCTTGTAAAACCCTGCTTCTGGGAGTTTTCAACTGGGAAAGGAAACTTACTTGTTTAGTGGAGCAGCACTGCAGGAGGAAAAAGAGACTTCTGTGCATGCAGGAGTCACTTGAGCCTGTTGCAGATTCAGTTATTTACAGAGTTGCTGTCAAGTACTGCATGAACTGCAGGGGTGAGTCATACCCTCTGTGGTAAATGAAAGAAAAGCCCTGAGAGCTGGTGCGGGGCTGTGCGCGGTTGCTGGTTACCTCCAGCACACTGCAGACACTGGGGAGATGCTGGGTACCATTCCCAAAGTAAAGGATGCGCAGAGGTAAGGCTGTAGCAGCTACTCCTGGGATTTGCCAACTTGTCCCAGTGATTATCGAATGGCATTTCTCTTGTTGCGAGATGGTTTGGGGGATGATCATACTGTGTATTTTGGGGCAGAAAGGTGACTGGCCCTGGCCCCAGAGTTGGGCTGGTTGCTGGAAATGGTTGAAGCTGTTGTGCTACAATTCCTTGTCTCAACATGAGCCCACGCAGGTCTGTTGCTGCTCATGCAGCAATTCACACGTTGCTGCTGTGTAATTGGGGCTAACATGATCATCGTTTATGCTGGCCATGAGCAGCAGTGGGGGCTGACCTGCTGTTCCTGAACGTGTGTGCTGCGTGTCCAGACCATACCATGCCAGGGCCCAGGATGATAAGCCACCTGCCTGAGACACAGCTCTTCTAAGGAGACCCAGCAGAGATATTCTTAGCAATAAGGATGTAGTTCAAGGCATCACAAACACTGCTTCCCTGTGACATCTGTTTACTGCCCTGTGTACATGTGCAGAGCTGCCACATCCTGTCCTGGCTGTCACCACCTACTGCAGAAGAGGTTTGCTGGGTTTGCTTCCCAATTTTTCCTTTCTGGGAGATGCTGCACCACCCAGAGCTGGGGATGGGAGGGGGCCCATTAAACCCCTGGTTTAGAGCCACTAGCTTTTGCCAGAAGGGTACAAGGCCGACACACCGGTATCTTTACAACAGTGCTGTAAATGCACAAAATTCTCGCTCTTGAATGTGTTTTGTCAGCCTGAAGCCCTGCAGGTGGCCCCAGCACTGCTGCCTGCTCTGGCTACTATGCACATAGAGAGGAAAACATCTATCGTGTTCTTTTCATGCCAGCCTCTGATGTGCCACGAGCTTGCTCTTGCAAGGCCACAGCCTTATGGTCTGGCTTTTCCTTTTAGTTTTGGTTTCTGTTTGTTTTCTTTTTTCCTTTTCCTCTTTACTGACCCAGAGGCAGTAAAAGGGGTGTGCAAATTACATTGGCCACTGAGAAAGCCTCACTGTGCTTCTGGAATCTTCAAATTCCTTCCACTGATGTGACAGCATGTTCTGTTGTTCAGAAGCAAAGCCCAACTATAACATTTTAACATGTTGCTTTTATCACATAGCATTAGATTTAGCAACACCACCAATTATAGCAGACACAACATATAGTATGCAATAAGCATGGCATTTCATCATCACAGAATCACAGAATGGTTTGGGTTGGAAGGGACCTTAAATCTCATCCAGTTCCATGTTCCACTAGAGCAGGTTGCTCCAAGCCACATCCAACCTGGCCTTGAACACTGCCAGGGACAGGGCAGCCACAAACTTCTATGGGCAACCTCTGTCAGGGCCTCATCACCCTCACAGGGAAGAACTTCTTCCTTATATCTAACCTAAATCTCCTGTCAGTTTTAAAGCCCTTCCTCCTTGTCCTGTCCCTTGTAAAAAAAAACTCTCCAGCTTTCTTGTAGCCCCTTTAGGCACTGGAAGCTGCTTTATCCCCAGAGCCTTCTCTTCTCCAGGCTGAGCAACCCCATCTCTCTCAGCCTGTCTCTGTGTGCTCAGCCACTTGCATAGAGACCCATGTTTGCCAGTGGCATGTTTCACCTCTGCATCACGCCACATTACCAGAATAACTGTGTGATCAATCTATCCAGCTGGGCTGCTCCATTTGCCCTGGCGAGGAAAGTCCCGTGTGTACAAGGGAATAGTCTCTTGTGCAAGGCAGTGTCTGAGCTGACCAAATGCTCCTAACACCTTCAAACACTCTTCTTCTTTTTATCTTTTTTTCCCTTCTTTTCTTTTTTCCTTTTCCCTTTTCTTCCTTTTTCCCATTTTTATTTTTTCTTTTTCATTTTCTTCCTTTTTTTCCCTTTTTTATTTTTTCGTTTTCTTTTTCCCCTTTTTTCTTTTTCTTCCTTTTTTCCTTTTTTAATTTTTTACTTTTTCCCATTTTTTCCTTTATTTCCTTTTTTTTCTCTTTTCGCTTCTTTTCTTTCCCTTTTTTTCTTTTTTCATTTTTCTCCTTTTTTCCTTTTTACCTTTTTTTTAATTTCTATTTTCTTTTTCCTTTTTCCTTTCCATCACTCCAAGGCCTCCTGCTGGTTTGTATATCATTTTTTCCCAGCACTGACAGGATTCTGGTGACAAGCTAAGCAGCTCAGCTGGCACAGCCTGCTGAGCCCTTGCAGGGCTGCTGCAGCTGGGACTCAGGCAGCTCCCACCAGCACCTAAGTGTGTCTGGACTGCTGTAAATTGGGTGCTGAGGGTCCCCTGCAGCCACATGGAGCACACATGCTCTTGCCACCCTGGCCAAGGGAGGCCATGGGGCTTCCTGCCCCATTGAAGTCACCAGGCCACTCCTGGGGAGGTGAGTGATGGTCAGCCATGCCTCCCCACTGCTGCCTCAGCTGCTCTGCACCCCCTCCCCAGGAAGCCAAATTAAGGGTTGTGCTCTGTAAGCAGCAGCAGAGAGGACATGAGAAACTACAAGCCACGGACATTGCCCCCCCCCCCCCCCCCCCCCCCCCCAGCTTTCTCCCATCCATATGTTGATGGCCTTTAACCCCTCAAACTGCCTTCAGTAGGACGGGAAGAGTAGGGGGTAAAGCATCATTCTCCCTTGGCCAGGAACCCTTGACAGGATGGGGATCTCAGAGGGGGACATCAGTTCTGGCCAGGAGTTTCACAATACCCAAGACTTTCAGTCTGGGATATCAAATCAGGACCCTTTCTTGTTTCCCAGTTCAAACTTGAGGAGCCTGTTAATTGTCTAATCCTGCCAGCCCCCAGCATGGAGGCATTTAACCACAGTGCAAAGAAACTGTGCTTGTAAATGCCTGGGTATCCAGACACAGCAAGCAAACAAACACAATGGGCAAAGATCTCAGCTGGAAGGACAAATAGTGAGGAAGACTTCAAAAACCTCAGCTGGAATGCAAGTGCTGCGCCTGGAATTGATGCCTCCATTAATGCAATGAACTTACCTCCAGTAATGTAAAACTTTAACTGGCAGAGACCAGTGCAAAGATTAGTGGTCTTGCGCTCATCTTCTTTTTGTTTTTTTTCTCTTCCGCTTCCTCTGTAGAAAGTACAATTTGTGCCCATGTGAAGTCTGGCTGACTGACAGCATCATCCAATGAGTCTGTAGCTTGTGTAGCTTGGCAGCCAGACCCATCAGGAGTTTATCTGGAAGGCAATGGCATTAATCAGCATTAATCACCTTCTCGCATGATTCAGACTTTGGCATGTCTCCTACGGATGTCACCATGCCCCCTCCTCCTGCAGCTCTTCTCATCTATGACATCAAGGACAGCAAAGCCTGAGCCAGAGTGAGACCAGCTCAGACCAGCTTTTGCAGATGTGCAAAGTTCATGACTACCGAGTAACGCAAGCCAAAGGGCTGCGATGTTTGGCAGCATCAGTAGTATTTGCTAGCATCAGCAGTATTTCACAGCGCAGCATTTGGCTGGTGGTGCTGAAAGGCTTAGCACTTGTATCTTTTAGGGCTTTTTAACAAAACCATGAAATGCTATTGTAATATTCTGGATAACTTTGCTATGTGATATCTCTAAATCCACATAGAACTGTCTCTTCTCAATGCTCAGGATGCATTACAGCTCTGTGTTGAAGGGGCTGTGTGTATGCAGGTATGGAGAGACCTGTATACATCTGTGTTTATGTATGTTTGGCTGTGTATGTTACATACACACACAAACATATTTTAAAACAGTGCTAAGTGCTATCTAAATAAAATGATCTTAGTCATTTTCTAGCTTCTTTGCTACATATGCTGGAAAGGTTTCTTCTTGTTAATTCAGAAAGAGGTTTGTAACGTAGCATATAGATCAGGCACAGAAGCCATGAAAAGTGTTGAACACCTCAAAATAAGTTCCCAAGTCAGCTGAAGGGCAGCTCCAAACCAACCTTTCAGCTGGATCATCTGAATTTCCCAGGTCCACTCTATCACTCTTCGCAGGTCTCCCATTGTTCCATTTGTCCCCAAAACTGGGATTGGTAGCTGCTGCTCTGAGTCAACCAGTAGCCAAATAACGCATGGAAGGCTTGGGTTTCTCATTAACTCCAGAGCTTATATAGTCCCATCTCACAGAGCACCAGCCACTTCTACTGCCTTCATCCCAGTCCTGCTGTCCCTCCTTCCCTGCCCAAGCTCTCACATTGCTTGGCAGCCCAGGCCAGTGACCACTCTCAGGAGGACAGCAGAGGAGCTGCGGGATGGACGAGAAAAGCAAACTCCAAGCAGAGAAGGTAACCAGGACTTGGTGATATTTTCGTGCTAGAATTTCTTCAGGACCCAGCACTGAGCAATGGTATTCAGTGCTTGCCAAGATCAAAACCAATTACAAAATCCCCTCCCCTAATTAATTGCTCTTTGATGTCTGTATACTGAGCACAGGGGTAGAGGGGTCAAGGGGTTATTATTTGTTTTTAAGAGCTCTGTTGTCTCTGTGATGGAAGGAAATAATACTTGGCACAGCACTGCCGAAAACCACCATTTTTGGTCATTTTTCACTCACTGATCTGCTTCAGGGGTGGTTCTGGAGACGGGGCAGGGCACATTCCTGTTGCTCCTGTGCTGCTGTACTGGGCAGAGCTCCTGCTCACTGTGAGCACTGGCGTGAACACTGGCAGCACAGCAGACACCGCCTCGGCACAAATTGCTCTTTCTGGGGCAACTCTGCTCTGTCCTAGCGACCTGATACTGCCCACTTCCAGGGACTTTCCCTTCTCCTTTGGAGCCAGCCAAAGTGCCTGGATGCCGCTGTCCCAGCCAGCTGGGCAGCAGCATCCCTCGGGACAGAACGGGGGCAGCCCCCCCAAGTTTGGGCAGGGCTGGGACAGTGGGATGAGGCTGTTCTCTGCTCCCTTCCCCAGCACCTCACAGGAACACTAGTTCTCTCTGTCTTCACCGCGGTGTTGGGCTTCTTCCAGTACGGCTACAGCCTGGGTGTCATTAACGCCCCCCAGAAGGTAAGATGAGCCCCTAAGCTGTGCATAGGCAAGGGATGAGGGCTTCAGGGCAGCCAGGGCTGGTCTGTCATGTGTAGAAGCCCTCAGGGAGAGCTCTGTCCCTTCCCCAGGCACTATCTCCCGCAGTACAAAGCCCCCGTGATAAGGCAACGGACGGGAAAACAGTGAGGACCCCTGCTGCCACCCCTCAGCAAAAGGAGCAGGGCTCTGCCTGTCAGGCTGCTATCCGCACTGCAACGCGGTCTCTGTGCCCAGACCAAGGGACTGCACCTCTCCACAGGTGCTGAATCCGGACACTCCCCGTCCCCGGGGAGTGGTGTGGGAGGAGGGGGATACTCCATTTCTGCCGTTGTGGTCGCTCCCCACTGGGGGTCTGAGTGATGGGGAGCTGTGGGGGACCCCAAGATTTCAACCCTCCAGAGCCTGTTATGAAAAGCTTTTTCTAGGGCAGCAAAATAAACAAAACAGGGGCTGGGGTGGTTACAGATTTGAGCTGATGGCGTTTTCTTCTTTGCCCACCACAGGTGATAGAAGCCCACTACAGCCGTATGCTGGGCATTGCTCCCCTCGAAAGACATGCTGCCAATGCCTCTGCGGAGGATGGCATTGTCCCTAGCACACAGCCCTGGGCTGGCACCACGGGCACAATCACACCCGTGGCTGACACCAGCGAGGACCTCACCACCTCCTCACACATCCTCACCATGTACTGGTCCCTCTCCGTCTCCATGTTTGCCATTGGCGGTATGATCTCCTCGTTCACCGTGGGGTGGATCGGTGACCGGCTGGGGAGGTGAGAGCACATTGTGTGCTGTGACTCCTCTGCCTCAGCCAAATCCTTTTTGTTTGACTTTTCCCCTAGAAACATTTCTTCCTCATCCCCATAGAAATACCATTTATGTTCTTTCCCCAATTTAATTATAAACACACACACACCAAAACCCAAACCTCTAAAATACTGCTCCAGCCATCACAGAGGTCTGGTTTACAGAAATCCTCACTTATAAATAAAACATTTGGTTGCAACCTTTAGCAATTCAGACAAGCAGCTGCTGAGCAGCCTTGATTAACTTCCCAATTCTTCCTCCCTTTTATTCCATGGCAAAAGGGAGAGGAAAGCCTCTGACTGGTGTTGGCACAGGATGTATAATATACTTTTAGCTACTTTGACTGCACCTCTGCCTGGTATTTTTCAGGCCTACAACCATTATTTTTAACCATGTTGTGCTGATTAAGCCACTTCATAGCTCTGATTGTATGCCATGATGCCTGATTTGGCTGAGAGGTGCCAGAAGGAGCTGTGCTGGTGCTGCCTTGCAGGGTGAAAGCCATGCTGGTGGTGAATGTCCTCTCCATTGCTGGGAACCTCCTCATGGGGCTGGCGAAATTTGGGCCGTCTCACTTACTCATCATCACCGGGAGAGCTGTCACAGGGCTGTACTGCGGTAAGTCCAGGAAGGTCAAGTACTGCAGACCAGCCCCCTGGTAGGGTGCTGGGTGCTCCCAGGCTGCAGTTAAGAGTTTCCTATATCTTTTAATCTTTTTTCTTTATTCAGAAAGGGTTTCACAGCGTTTTCACAAAGGAGTTTCCCTCTTTTTCCTATGTCCTTACTTCTCAATCCAGGATCTTTCCCAGAAGTATCTGAGTTGGCTTTATCATGAAATTGGTTTATTTTACATCCCAGAAAGCAGCAAGTCCCTCCTCTGTATACCTTGGTCTTGCTGGTGGCTGTTGTAACAGTACGATATTAACCATGCTGTTTAATGGGTTCCCTAGACAACAGTACTATCTAGCAGATAGTACAGGAGCACTGTACATACAGAGGATAAGATAGTAGGCAAATAACATGGAATTACATCAGAATTAGCTTAGAAACATCAGCTTATCATTACTGTTACTAATATGCAAATACAATACTCTGAAGTTTCAAGGCAAGTTTTCAGAAAGCTCTTTGCTCTGTGATAACTGCCCAGTGGATGATCTCTGCTCCATGCTCATATGTGTATGTTCAAGTGTAAAGGCTTCTCGGCTTGGGGCTCTGAATCCAGGGATATCCAAGCACCTTTGCAAGAGGCAGGTGGTTCCCATCCAGGCACAGGGGGCTTGGTGGGATGTGGGAGGCAGCACACAGGCTCCATCTTCCCTTCCTGCTTGGGAAGCAGTTTCTGCTGGTTGCTGACTTGCAGTCTAGAAGAGGTGATACCTGCGTGTGCTTGGTGCAGGGCTCTCCTCTGGACTTGTGCCCATGTACGTCAGCGAGGTCTCTCCCACGGCCCTCCGAGGAGCGCTGGGGACGCTGCACCAGCTTGCTATCGTCACGGGTATCCTCATCAGCCAGGTAAGCAGGAAAGTGCACAAGTCCAGAGATGGTATTTTAAGAGATTAGGGATACCCCAGTGATACACAGGGATGTCACTCACCAATCCACCCCAAACTGGAAAACAGTGCAAAGCAATCTGTGAGGTTAAACTCCTACCTTGAGTGAGAGCTGCCTTAACAAAGATAACTTCTCATGAAATAAAAAGTACTTCTGCAAACAGTTTCTCCCTTCCTCTAGGAAGTTTTTGTAAGAATCTCATCAGGGTCAGGCTGGATCCTGAACCAAGATCTCTAATATTCAGGTAATCAAAAATTACTTCATCAGAGAATTAGGGAGCCCAATGTTCCCCTCAGCATTGTCCACCATGGCAGGAGTCCCAGCTATGTGACAGATGGGCACATAAATGTACCACAAACCAACACATCCAGAAAAACTTAACCTCAAAGTTCATCTAATGTGATTTAGCCAAAGACCATGGACAGACCATGTGTTAAAAAAAAAATCACAAGGTAGGTCCCGCAGCTCCACTACCTGGGGAATACAATGCTTTTCAAATTACAGAAGGAAAAAAGTTACAAGGGCACACAAACTACCTGGATCACCTTTTTCAATGGTCAATAATCACACACTAAAGCAAAGCTCAAGTCAGTTGCAGCCCCAATGCTCAGAGTGTGCTGGTCACCACCCAGGTATCTGGGGTACCCCATGCTGCATGGACCTCTGCCCATGCCCTGCCCCTTTGTGGAGTTGCTTAGGACACATATGCCCATAAAACCTCATACCCTAAAACCCCCAAGATAGCAAGGTCTGAGGAGAAAACATTTCACCAGCATGCTTGTATTTGCTGAGCTGTTTACACAGTGGTTCTGTCCAGCCACAGGTCTCCTGCTGGTGGCATGTCCCAAGGAGGACTGAGTCACTGCAGGGTGTCCCACAGCACCTGTAAGCCAAAGTCTCGCTCATGACATTTTATGCCATCTGTTCATTCCCTCCTTGTAAGTGTGTATCGTAACGAAAGAAATCAAACTGTTAGGACTGAGAATTGTATTTGCTTCTAGTCTTCTTCCAGGTTGTCACTTCCAAATGCCATAGTGGTCAATCACTTTCATTTTCTAGGGTGCAAAATAAGCTATTCAAACATGCCTCAATCATTCCAGGTCCTTGGACTAGACTTTCTCCTGGGCAATGATGAGTTGTGGCCCCTGCTCCTCAGTCTGTCTGGTGTGGCTGCTCTCCTGCAGTTCTTCTTGCTCTTACTGTGCCCTGAGAGTCCCCGTTACCTTTACATCAAACTGGGGAAGGTGGAGGAAGCTAAAAGAAGTAAGACACATTCTGGGCTTGTCTAAAGTTGTTTTTATACTGTATATAGCATTAAACATAGAAGGAAAAGCACAGCTGAGGGCTCACACATGTAACTAGTTATAGCTGCTGTGTCCCACACAGCACATTTGCAGGAGGGATTTCGGACACCTGCAAATAGCCACTGCCTAATGCATGCTTGCTTCTTCATCACTGTGGGTGGTGTGAGCCTTAGCACGTTACACCTTTCCATCAGAGAGATGGATGATGGCAAGAGAGCAGATGCCACCCCAAAAAACCCATTCAGTTTGAAGGGATTTCTACCACATGTAAAAATAAGAATGACAGCTTCTAGCGGACAGCTGATCTCTCTGTCCGTGGTGCTATTTGCAGCTACGCAGTAAATCCACAGCTGAACCTGCTTATGCATCTTCCAGTGTGGCCCTCCTTAGCTGCTTTCAGCCATGTCTACAAGGATTAAAAGCTGTCAGTGGTAGGACACAGCTGAAACTGAGGTGAGAGCCCAGGACAGGGTAAAACAGAGCATAACTGCATTCTTGGATGCAGAGTTGCTTGCTCATGCTCTGAGCTGCTGAACTATAGATTAGCTCTGAACCAAAACCTATTGAGATATGTTTGAATGGGACTAATAAGCATTGCTGAGGGACAAGGCTTGACCGCAGTGTCTCAGAACTAATGTGCTGCTGGCCCTTGATGTGCCATAAGAGTCCTCAGGGCAAGACGACACTACTGTGCATCTGGCTGGATTACCCTGAGTTTTGGTTAGAGAGATTCTTGTCCTTACTCTAATTCTTATCTACCACTGAAAATAAAATGTCCATCTTTTTCTTCTTAAGATTTGAGAAGACTCAGAGGAAACTGTGACCCGATGAAAGAGACTGCTGAGATGGAAAAGGAAAAACAAGAAGCTGCTAGTGAAAAGAAAGTCTCAATAAGACAGCTTTTCACCTCTTCAAAGTACAAGCAGGCTGTCATCGTGGCGCTGATGGTGCAAATAGCTCAGCAGTTCTCAGGAATCAATGCAGTGAGTCTCCCAAAAATGTCTGTCTTTAAAGAAATCCACACTGAGCATAAAAAGACAGCACTGGCTCCATCCAAGCCATGTCAGGGTGAAGAGAAGGCTTTCCTGTGAGTGCAGTAGGCTCCTTGGCCACCACCATCAGTGCTGAAGGTGGATCTCACTGCCAAGCCTTGCTGCAGCAGGGTAGGAGGGGAGAAGAGTGCAAGGGCATTCAGCACAAAACCAACTGGCTTGGTGCATCCGTGCTGAGCTCTCCTGTGATCCTTCACCTGAGTTCAAGAGTTTGCTCTCTTTAATAACTACCTGCTCACCCCAGGAACCACAGAATCACTATCTCCTAGCTATTTTTAGCTAGTGTTTGCATCATCAAAAATCACCATTTTACACCTAGGAGCACGAAGCCTCCTTTTCAAAACTTTCTCAAACCTTTGAAAGTCTGGTGGCAACTTTACAAAGGTTGAGGCTTCTGTTCTACCCGCTTTCAAAACCCACCTGCCCTGCCTTGAGGCCATGCACAGCTTCATCCACCAATCACAGGGTCAGCCACCTGTTTACCTCCTGCCAGAGGTTATTCACCTCCTTATTCTCAGACAGAAGGGAGAGATTTGAGTCATTCCAATGTAGTGAGGCTATTTAAAATTAATGTAAAACTTGATCATATTAAGGTATTTGTCTCCAGTGCTCAGTGCTGGTGATCTGGCTTTCAAGATTAAACTATACGGAAGGAAACAGTTTTAAATACGCAAATGCAGTAGCTCAGGAGGAGAATTTCAACAGGATTTTTAACTCCCTCAGGCTTCTTTGAAAGTTTCAGCTTAGTTATTATAACAACCCATTAAAAGTTGAAAAATCTATTCATAATTAAATTACTTCACATCTCAGCCAAGCAAGTGAGACACTTCCCTCACAAGAACAAAAAGTTCCACCAGCCCTGTTGCCTAATCCTTCATCCTAATTATTTTGATAGATCTTTTACTACTCTACAAACATTTTCGAGAGAGCTGGAGTTGACCAACCAGTTTATGCAACCATCGGTGTTGGAGTTGTGAACACAGTCTTCACTGTTATCTCTGTAAGTAAATATTTTTACCCCCGACACTGCAAAAACATGTAGGCTACAGTGTGGTTTTGAAATATGATTTTATCCTGGAGCTAGGATTTGCAGTCTTGCAGGACTGACCCTGCTCACCTTTCAGGAAAATCATTCCCTGGCAAGCCTTGATTGAAAAATCAAGTCTTAAAGTACAGCCCATTGCCATCAAACAGCACTGCTTTTCACAGTGTGTGAAAACTGCATCACCATGCTCAGGGAAGCTCTGGTAGCTCAGCATTCCCCTCACAATAGAAGTTGCCTTTGAGACAGAAACTCTGCAGGTGCTATTCCCCTCAGGGAGCAGGCAGGGGATTGGCATTGCGATGGGGAAGCCAGCAGCTCCCAATCTCCCTCTTACATGTTATCTTTCAAATTGTTTTCTATATGTACATAGCACCTGCATGAGTGATATCCAAAGGCTATTCCACAGTAATAAAAGTAATCTAACACCTATCCTCATTGTATCTATGCAGTGTTCTGCAGCAATAAAAGGATGGTTCTGTTTTCACAGCCTTCCCCTTTGTTTGTCTCTCTCCTGAGAGTATTAACACAATTCCTATCAGCAGGCAATTATTTTTGTAATGTGGGCATTAACATAAGATCAGGAAATGCCAAGCCCATTTCCCTCACATCACTAGAGAGACTTAGGGAACCCACCATGAAGCAGGACTAGCTGCAAGGTAGAAATATACAGCTTTAAGAGATCTTAGTCCAGCATGTATGAGATAGGAGGTCTTGGGGTGAAACTGCTTTAGAGGAAGTCCATCACAGGTCCTATACAGAGGAGAAAACATTATTGTGAAATGAGGCACGGAAGTGGGCAGATGGAAGAGATCTTTCTCTATCTCAGAGTATCTCCTGCACTTTAATCTCCACCCCAGGGCTGTGGTACTTGCAGCTGTTTGCTGCTTTTGGCCATGAGCACTTAAAAATTACCTACATTTGTAAATTAATGACAGACCCCGATCAAAAGGCAGAAACACTAAGAGCGGGGGTGGACCTTGGCAAGGGAGAAGGAAGCGCAATGTCTTGCCCTCTGCAACTTCACAAATTAGCAAGATGAACAGCCTCTGGCAAAAGGGATTGTCTCTTGGAAGCATAAATCACTTGCTGTAATTGCCAGGAAAGGTTTTGCTGATGGCCAAAGGTGTTCTTTAAAGAAAGGGGAAGGAGCAGACAGCCTCAGAGGCTAGTACATGGTATCTTAGGGCAGGCCAGATGTACTGTCCCTCTGGAGTTACCTGTACCTCCTCACTGGGTGAAGTGATTGGTACAGACTTAGCTGTCAGAATTTGGGTTCCACCAGAGGAGTTGAAAATGAGCAAGCTAAACCCTGTGGCTGCTAGGGAAGCAAAAGGAGTCTGGGAGAAACTGAAGAATAAATCCTGACTCCAGCTGCTACAGGACTATCCCTGTCCTAGTGGAGGCAAGATGAATGGCCCATGATGTGACTCGAATTATCCTGCTTTCAAACTAACACAGACCTGGGAAGTTTATTCTTCCTGCAAAGTGGACCAAAAAAAAGAAAAAAAGGATCTTGTAAATGCTTAAGTTCTGAGTCTATGTGGTTACACCTTGCCCTTGGCAGGGTGGCAGCTCACTCTGGCTCCCTAACAGCCACCACAGAGTTTCTGACACTTGGAAACCAGCATGTAAATCTCTACCACGAGAGCTAAAAGAGCAGGATACAATGTGTTGGTAGTAAGAGGTTGCTTATTGCTAAAGGACCTCATTGAACCTCCTAAGTATGAGCTGCTGCACTTGTTTCTACAGGTCTTTTTGGTGGAGAAGGCAGGCAGGCGGTCCCTGTTCCTGGCTGGTTTGATGGGCATGCTATTAAGTGCTGTGGCCATGACAGTTGGACTTGTGCTCCTGGTAAGGATTTCTCTCCATTCTTTAATCCACGATTTGCAAATAAGAGAAGAAAAACTGCCCTTTAAAGTGAATGTTTTGCATTTTTATCTCATAGGAGTTCAGAAAACTTTCGTCCTAAGAAGGGGCAATTCAAAGTGGCCATAGCTAGAGCTACCTCTGGTTACAGAAGTGCCTGAGGACACTGCATTTTTGGCCCTGAGACACCCCTTTCTGTTAGAAAGGACCTATGTTCCCTGTCCCCTCCCTGAGCTAGCTGACAACCTCAGCTCCTTACACAGCAGCTGCACAATTCCTAAAGCATAATCCCATGCCTGCTAAGAAAACCAGGACATGTGCAAACAGTGTGTGTCCTAAACCCTCAACTTGCATCTCCCTGGCTTGGTGCAAGGATGCTACACCAGCATCTTGTCTTAGTTAAAAAAGGGACAAATTATTCCTTCTTACATCCAGGAGAGTGGTCAGGGTGTGAGATATGGGCAGAACAGGCAGAGGATGGAGCCAGCCTGCAATCAAAGTCAGTCCAAACCTGTCAAGATGTAAAACCAAATAAGGGGTGGCCTCCTCTACAGATCACCCTGGTCATTGAAGACACCACCATTTTGCCTCTTTACAGCCATCCTGCAGGCAAGGGGAGGGCTTGAAGGTACAGCTGAGGTGACAGCTGTGAGCTCCAACATCCCTCTGCAAGAGGCAATGCTGGCACCACACAGCCAGCCAGTACCCAACACAAGAGTTTAGAGCTTTAATTATGCATGTCCAGTATCCACTTGTCTGAATAGAAAGAAATTTCTGAAAAAGAAGCCTAATTAAAGCAATTAGTGATAATTAATGAAAGTCATGTTAGAACTAACACTGAGCGCACCCTCTTGCAGAGCCAGTTTGCTTGGATGAGCTACATCAGCATGGTCGCGATCTTCCTCTTCGTCATCTTCTTTGAAGTTGGGCCTGGCCCCATCCCTTGGTTTATCGTGGCTGAACTGTTCAGCCAAGGCCCGCGCCCCGCTGCCATTGCCGTCGCTGGCTTCTGCAACTGGGCCTGTAACTTCATTGTGGGAATGTGTTTCCAGTACATAGCGGTAAGAAATCCCTCTACAACCACACAAATAAATGACTAGCACGACCCCACTGCTGGGCTCCCAAAATAGCCCAGCAGGATGTGGATATGTCTCCTAGATCTCTACCCCCAAGCCCTGCTGGGTACCTCAGCCAGTCAGGGTAGGATGGGGAAGCCATCCCTGTGGTACTGATGGTGATGTCTCCTCACTTCACCTGCTACAGGATCTCTGTGGACCATACGTGTTTGTGATCTTCGCAGCTCTGCTTCTAGTCTTCTTTCTATTTGCATACTTCAAAGTACCAGAGACGAAAGGAAAGTCCTTTGAGGAGATTGCAGCTGTGTTCCGCCGCAAGAAGCTCATGGCCAAAACGATGACTGAGTTGGAAGACCTGCGACGCAGCGAAGAGGCGTAGACATGGCCACACACCCAGAAAGGACCGAGTATGGACCTCCTTCAGGTGCTGCAGAAAGAACGCTGGGCAAAAGTCTTATTTCACAGAAACTTTGGAGCTGGCAGACCAAGAGGACCCATCCATTGGATGCCTTCTGGCTGCTGCAGCTCACACCTCCAAGCCACAGGTGCCAACCTGGCATTTTCCTCTGAAACACTCGGTACAACTAGGCTGCAGAAAGAGCCAGGGAAAGGGCACAAAGATTATGTTACATGTGTGCCTTCATGACACACTGGGACAATGATATTATTAGCTGGCAAAGCATTACATTGAGCAGGGTCATCACTCAGCTGGAATGAAGGAAAGAGGGCTCAGCTGATGCTGCAGCCTCATGTTTTCACCTCTTTGTCCCACGCTTACTGCTTCCTTCTTCTGAGTGATCTGATGCACTCAGAAAACAACAGCTGGTGAAGGTTGTGGCACAGCGACAGCACTGACTGCCTCAGGTGCTATGGAAAACAGACTAAGCAAACTCCCCCTTACTCCTGCCTGTGCAGGGGAAGAAGGTGAATTGGTTGGGATGCATCTTGCTTGCTTCGCTATCCATGCATTATAGAAATGTTGTCCAATCTCATAAGAATTTATCAAGTCACAAGACTTTTTAGGAAAATCTTAGAAACTCTGGCTGGGGCTGATGTGCTTTTTTTTTTTTTTTCCTTTTGTTTTAGCCAGGCTATTTACCTCCTCTTTCCTCCTAGGAATCATTTCTTGCCTCCTTTATCCTTGCTGCGGCACAAGACAGCACATCACTGACTACACAACAGCCTGGGCTCTCCTTTCCCCTAGGTCAGGAGACTCATGTCCTGCTGCCACCCCTCCCATGGTGTGACCATCTCCAGGCCACCTCCGCTTGCTGCTCCTCCTTCTCCACCCTGTGAATCTGCCTTCCCTTCCTTTTGTACAACACTTAGATCCGCAGGCTCCAGCTTCAGCCAAGGCCTTGGGCTGCCCATATTGTAAGAATAAATGATGACTCAAAGAGGAAATGGGTACTGCAGCATAAACTGGAAGGTGCCCCACTGCTCTGACCCCCACTTTGCACCCACTTATGGTTTTGCTGACTGTATTTGCTTCAGCCAAGACAGTGTGCAAGCAGGAGGTTGTGTTGTTTCCATAGCCTTATTTGTGATTGTCTTGCTTCTGTATGAGGTACCTTTATATGGCAAAATCAAGCTAGAAGGATTTTTCTTCCTTTTTGGCAGGATGTGTATGAAACACTGTAAAAGCCTGCTCTCTGTTTGCTTGACTTTTAAGATTTGCATGCTCCTTGCTGTGATACCAGGTTACTTTCTAGCAACTTTATCAGGATAGAAACCCATTATTTATTTAGAGACAAACACCAGCGTTGCTCAGTCACTGTGAGCTCATCACAGCTACCAGTGAAACAGTGGCCATAAAGTAACAGAGGATCAAGCAGAATGAAAAGCCTGAGAATAGTCAGGCCAAGTTGGATCATAGGCTGCAGCTACGGATTTGGTTTTAGGGAAGGTTCATGCTCCTTTCTATGTGTCCAAACTTCTTTCCTCTGTAGACCTTACTCTCTTGGTATTAAGGTACCAGAGCAAATTTTGGTCCCTTCCAAGTAACTAGCAGTGTAGCCACAAGGTCCACTGGGGTATTGTCTGGCTCTGGCCTGGCAGTAAGTTTGCACCAAAGGCTTTTCTGGAGTAACTGCTGGGATTTAACCAGAGGAGAACTGGGTCAGTGCTGTCATGTGCTATAGCAGTGAGAACCTGGGACTGACACAGGGCATGCAGGGCATGTAGGAACTAGGGCCCAGGCTGTGGTGCATAGAAGAGAGCAGCAGAGCTGGGGTGCAGTCTCTGAGTCAAACTGTCAGTCTGTGTGCTGCAAACAGGTCTCCCCAAGTGAGACTAGCTGAGATGACAGGCTCAGAAGCTCTCCACGATGTCTGCTGCAGTTAGTTAAATATTATAATGAGTTGCCTGAATGTAAAAGAAGGGAAAAAATAAAAGAGATGGGTTCTTGCTTTCGCCAGTGTTGTCTACACCTGCAACAATGAACAACATCTACACATGTTGGCTTGCGCTTTTGAATTGTTTGGGTTTTTTTCTTCTCTGTATATCTCAGACGTATGTCCAACTCCAGATGTGAGGCATTTTCCTAGCAGGATATATTTGCTCCATGGGTGTTAATTGCTGTGCAAACCCTCAGCTAAATGCCTTTGAAATGGATGGTCCAGAGGTGAGACTGGGGAGTTGGAAGGCAGCTCTGGAGCTGGTGGAAGCTGGCTCTGCATTGGGATGAATACTCACTGGAGGTGTGCCAGCATCTAACCCCAGCTGTCTTCACTGTCCACCTATATAACACCACAATAAATGACACCTCTGCTTGCATGGGCACTGGTGCAACTTAAAACTTGGTGCTGGAGCCTCTCTAGGCATGATAGGCATTTGGGAAGAGATGGGGCTGAGGCAGGTTTGATCCTGCTCTGTGGGCAGAGCCTGGCTGGTTCCCTCCAGGAGTGGAAGGCTGGGACAGCAGAGGCAGGGTGGCAGGGAAGGTGCTGGCACTGGACTCCTAGATGTCCCCTGCTAGGTCCTTGTGAGCCAGCCAGCCCATACAAAGAGAACGGCTTGAGTTACAGCCACACAGTGCTCACATGGGTATTTTAACATGAGAAAGGCTGTCCAAAACCACTTCACTAAACTTCTGCTGAGCTTTGTCCTAATGCCTGAGGGGCACCAGCCAGTGACACTGTCAGTAACTCAGCAGTGAGGGGTCACTTAACAACACTCTGAGCAGCCAGTCTTTGTTTTCCTGTGTGTTACTAGGTGAATGATAACAGAAAGCCTGGTCCAATTACTGTAGAACAGCACATAAACTAGTTTAACAAAGCCCACAACATTAACATTACCCATAGCTATAGCCCTGAACTTCCCAGAAGGTCTGCCTGCGTGTTCAGAGGCCCTTAAGGAAAACTGGTCCCTGAGTTTCAGGATGTGCTTCCTTACAGCAGCTGCTGTGTGGAAGAGAAGCAAGTCTCCTTCCAGGCTGGGACCTCCCCCGGCAACCCTCTCCAACCTTCTTGGGCCCCAACTGGACAATGTACCTTCATGCATTTAACTATTATCATTTGATTTATTTGTATATTCCCCTGGAGATGATGCTTTGCTCACCCCAGCATGTTTCAAATCAGTTCTGTTTGTGGTTGCAGTGGGGCAGGCTGCAGCCTGGGACACGATGTGCAGAGCTCAGCACTGCTGAAGGCTACAGCAATCCCTGTCCTCACCAAGGCTGATATGCTGGGCTGAACTATCATAAGTGCACTTTTACCATGCATGACAATGCAAAAAGAGGTCATACAAGTCGGTGAAACCTGCCAACGTTTACTTTTTTCTTGTCCCATCAGGCTGGTAATTTCGACTGTACACTTTATCTGTCCTTGCTACATTCAAGTTCCAGTTAAAACTTGTTCTTGAAACACAGCTTGTTGAATCATTATTTTTATCTCTTGGTGTTACAGTTTTACCAAGTTGCTAATCATTAAGAAAATTTAAAAGACCAGGTCATACTTATTAGCTAAATGGCCGTTGCTTTTTAGTTAACATGTGAAACATATCCTCATACTGTGGTTAGCTAATAATGAAATATAATTAATAATCTCTTGAGAAAGCATCTTGTCAGCAAGGGGTTTGACAGTGTTTTCCTAATGTGCTGACATGACAGCCATTAAGACTCTTCTTTCGTGTCAGAGAAATGGCTAATGATATCTAGCTTCCCACTCTCTAGGCATAATCTTAAAATTAGTTTGACTTTCCTAATCCAATAAACTGAGGACATTTGGCCCCATTAACACTTTCCACACTAATTTATCACAGATTTTCTGCCTCACTTCAACTTGTTTTTCATCCCTGGGAAGCACTCCCCTCCACCTCCCCAGTCACACAGCTGATGAGGATGAAGCTAACCTCAGTGCTACATATGCAGGGACCCAGTGTTTGAGGTACAATGCATTTTCTGAGGTGCTTGATGTCCTTTTTTTTTTCACTGAGAGCTGAAGAATTACAAAGCAGGGCATCAGGTCTGGATCCAGCAGCACCTGTAAGCATGAGACTTAATTTAAGGTAACTGTGCCTGTGCTCAAGTGTTTCATTAAATCCTGAAGCAACACTGGCAAATTTTATCTGGAGGCACAGCCTATATAGCTGTGCTGAGAGGGAAGGAATCTCCTCCCCAGCAGAGTGGCAATAAATTTGGCTGTAGATCTGCAGTTGTTAAATTTTACAGGCTGTAGAAATAACTGCGGACCTGAAGCTTGGGCAGTGCCTTGTGGCTTTGCCTCCATTTATTCTGTTCATGAGAGTGAGTGGCTCTTGTGGCTATGAAAAGCATCATGGCCTCCAGGTCATAGGTGGGACATCCCTGTATTAGCACTGCTGCAGCCCCAGGAGGAGGGAACAGCTGGAGTTACTAAATCTTTTCCCTCTTCTTAGTGGGAGTTACAGGTGGTTCTCACTAGCTTGGTGTCCCTGCACTGCCACTGCTTGCCTCTGATCTCCAGTGTGTGCCCAGGGTGAATTTCATGGGGAATTCAGGCACTGTGGCTGTGTGTGCACACCTCATCCGATGTTTCTCTGGCTGGATGCTTGTGTGGAGCACAGAAAGGTAAGAGTGGTCACGAAGCAGCTAGAGGCAGTGCTCTGGCAGTCTCTAAAGATCGTCCCAGGGCACATAGCACCTAATAATTGTAGGAACAATCCAGCACCTCAGAATCCCTTTCTGAACGCTGAAGCAAATGCACAATGAGTCACTGGCACTGCACAGAAAGCAGAAGGTGAGCGGCAGGATTAAAGCAGTGCCTGGAGCAGTATGGGGTGCCTGTGGCAAGGTCACTGCAGAGGCTCTTTAATGCAGTTCATACTATATAGAGAGACTGTATGTAGGAGCTCAGAGGGTCTGCTGAGCATGATGATGTCCTCTGGATCATCAGTCCCCAGCCTCTCTCATGTTCTCCTGCTTGAGGCTGCGCCAGAAGCCAGAGTGAACCCTCACCCCCAACAGGCAGGACACATCAATGGGACACCAGGTAAGACAGCTGAGCAGCTGAAACGGAGACACTTTTCAGGCTAGGTCAGGGTTGTTTACACTGCTTTGCTCATGACCAGTTATTTCTAATCTTGTGACCTGAACCAAATCCTGATGAATGAGCCTCCCTCTACTTTCCCAGTGCACACCCAGCGCTGAGGGCACCACGAAGACTGAGTAAACTGCTCACTGCCGCTCTAAGTGACCCCCTCTCAGCTAGCAAGCACGGCTCTCCTCTGTCACCCTCCTCTGTCCTCCATGCACCCAGGCCACCACCCCTGGGTGTTGCAGGACATGGCTGCCCTCCTTGTTGCTCCCCCCCCAAGATGTATCACAGTATTTACAAATAAATACACTTTGAAATCATAAAATCATGGAATGGTTAGGGTTGAAAAGGACCTTAAAGCTCATCCAGTTCCAACCCCCTGCCATGGACAGGGACACCTTCCACTAGACCAGGTTATTCAAAGCACCATCCAACCTGGCCTTGTACACTGGCAGGGATGAGGCAGTCACACCTTCTCTGGGCAACCTCTGCCAATGCCTCAACACTCTCACAGTAAAGAGCTTCTTCCTTTTATCTAACCTAAATCTCGTGTTTAAGGGGAGATTAAATCAAACTGCTGCTGTTGTATAGAGAAGTGAGAGAATCACATTAGTACTGTCAAGAAACACACTTTAGAAAATAGATGTTGATCCAGACAAAGGAACGATGCCTACAAGCAATAACTGATGGAGCTGATTTCCTTTTTTTTTTAATGGAATCTTGAATAAAAGCTGTCTTGAATATGTTTTGTGTCTTGAAAATAAATAGAATTTACAGCTGCATTTCAGTAAAAAGACTTGATTTACTCCAGAAGATCTCTCAAGTAATCCAAAGTAAATCTGTTGTGGAAAATCAGCCAAATGTAATTAGTTCATCTATTTGTAGGTAAACAAACACACTGCACATGTAAAAACACTTAATGCCAAAGTCTCTGATTATCAGCTGACATGGAATTAAAACGGGCAGTTCCCCAGAGTGAAGTGTATCATCTCTAGAGTAGGCTGGGTGAGGGAAGCATACACTGAAAACCCTGGTAACGGAAGAGAGCCACCATCTCGACCTGCTGGAGCATTATAAAGGGGCCCCACGTAAATGAAAGCCAAACTTATCTCTTTGGGTACATGCTGTTCAATTCAGAGTGGCATTTGTGTAACCCAGAGCAGGCCCACAGGCAAACAGATCACACAGGTTAAAATGAATTAAATAAAAAGATCCCATGACGAACCATTTAAAAATGTATGCAACTTACGTAGCAATCCCATTACAACACAGACAAGAAGTTAGGCATCTCAGAGCAGGCACCCCAGGACAGCACACTGCAGCCTGTGCGGCTGATGTCAGAGGCCAGCTCTGACAGTGCTGCCACACGCACCCTGGATTTGGGTGTTTTTCTGTTTCTCTGCAGTTGATAGGTGCTCTCTATGGCACCCCTCAGGGCTGGGCCCATTCACCAGCAGCTTCACAGGAGTGTCTTCTGGTGAATTCGGTTTAACAGCTGAAGTACTGAAGCATCTGACTTGGAGGGTTTTAATAAAACTGGTTATTGTTTGGCCTCGTTTTGCTCAGGATCCGTGTCTGGCTCTGTGGCTGCGTTCATCACCACAGACCTCTCCTCAGGCAGAGCACGGAGTGGATGTCAGAGGCTAACGATGGCTGTGCTGTTAGCACTGCGGATAAACTGTCAGGAATGGAGTCACTCGAGTCTCACATCCATTAATGGAAACCGGCTTTCACCACAGCTTCTGAGCAGTTTCAGACCCCTACGGCTGACTGCTATGCACTTGCAGAAAGCTCTCCTGATTATTCTGAGAGGGGAAACAACAGCCACACAAACCCGCTGTGTGTGGACACTTAAATACAACTCACGAGGAAGCCTTATCCCGCCAGGCTCTGGAAACACACATTTCTTTTCGAGTGCGTTTAAAACCTAGTTTTGTCGCCCGGAAGCCGCCTGACCACCCTTCACAGAAACCGACCGCCGGAGCCGCCCAGGACACAAGATGGCGGGAGCTGTGTGTGATAGGAGGCGCACAGCGCCGCCTAGCGGCTCAGAGCGGCCACACGCCGGCGGTGCGTGGCGGAGCTCGCCTCGGCGCAATGGCGCCGGCGCCGCGCGGCTGGAGAGAAGGCGCGCTGAGCCCAACGGCTCTCCGTAGGCGAGGGGCGGGGTGAGGGCACGCGAGAGGCACCCCCAGCACGTGGTCAGCCGGCGGGCCGAGGGGGCAGGGCCGGACCCCGCTCCGTGGGAGGGGGGAGGGTACGGGCCAATGAGCGCGCCCGCCGGCGGAAGCGGGAGGGTGGGGCTGGGCGGTGCGCCGTGCCTGCGCTCCTCGCCGCCTCTTCCCGCCGCCCGCCGCAGTGGTCGGGCGCGTGTGCGCGGCGCCGTGACCCGACCCGCCCCGCCCCCGCCCCGCCCGGCACCGGCCTCCACCGGCACCCCCGAACGGGCTCGCAAGGTGAGAAGGGGCGCGCAGCCGCTGGGGGGCCAGCCCCCGGGGCTGCGCGCTGGTGGCGGCTGGGCCGCGGCGCCGAGGCGACGGGGAAGAAGGGGTGAGGCGAGCCTATTGGCGGGCGCCGCCGCTACCGGGGCGGGGAAGGCGCGGGTGGGGGGGTCGCAAGGGGCTCCGGCCTGTGGCGTGCGGCGGCTCCCCGCCCGCAGGCACGTGTGTCAGAGCAAGGCGGGCCCATCCCACCCCGGGGCGCCGCCATCGCGCTGCTCTTCCCCGGAGGAGGTGATTGGGGTCCGTCTTCCCCTCGGCCCGGCTCTTCCCGCCGCCCGGGCTCCGAGCCGACGTGTTCTCTCTCGTTAGCAGCCCCTGTCTCCAGCCCCCCGCCGCCATGGCCGACGAGCTCGACTTCACCACGGGCGATGCCGGCGCCTCGTTCACGTACCCTATGCAGTGCTCGGCTCTGCGGAAGAACGGCTTTGTGGTGCTCAAGGGCCGCCCCTGTAAGATCGTAGAGATGTCCACTTCCAAGACGGGCAAGCACGGCCACGCCAAGGTGAGCGGCCTCGGGTAGGCTCGGCAAGCCTCAGTCTTGTTTCACAGCCCTGCGGCTCCCAGCCCTCGCAGCGGTATCACGCTCTCCTGCGTGGCTAACCTAGACGGGAGGGTGTAGCGTTTCATTTCGCAGCGTTCTGTATCCCGCCTTTGCCTTTCTCGCAGCAGTGTCACGTGTGTGTCTGCACTCTAGAGCTGGCTCAGGGATGTTCGTTAATGTAAAGTGTGAAGGGTCGAGGACAAGGGGTGGGTGGTTTTTTTCACCCAACTTGTTAAAAAGCTTTAAGGATGATAGTGCTAAAGCCTGTTTTTGTAGTGGGGGTAGAGCAAGTTCTGGAAGGGGGCTGATGAAATCACTAGGGTGTGGTTGGGCTGTGCTGTCGCTACCCACCAAAACACTTTGCTGTCTGCCTGGGCTAGCAGACTTTCACTATTGTAGCGCTCAACTTAAGCACTTGTACTCAATTCAAGCACTTACTCGAGGAGCCGTGTTTCTGTTACGTAATCCAGAGGAGCTCAGCAAACACTCGTTGCCTCTGTGGGCCTGCTCTAGCCCTACTTTGCTGTCTTGCCTTGCTGTTGCTTTGCTTTTTTCAGCACTGAGTGAGGAGTATCTTGCCCCTCCTGTGTCTCAGAAGGGACATTCTTACCTGCTGGCTGGGGCTACAGTCCTGCCTAAGCAGTTGACTTATGTATGTAGCTGTCCAGAGCTCAGACCAAGGCTAGACTCTCCCTTCAGTAATTCAGCAACACTTTATAGTGGGTATAGTAGAGTTTAGAGACAGATCTGCTACAAGCACCAACTAGTGGTATTTATAAGTTTCTGGACCTTGTATGATACATGTAGGTGGGCAAAATATTTAGGATTTATCAAAGCTAGAGTATACTAAGCCCTTGCCAGTATTTTCCTTTCTCCCACCTCTTGCTTTTTTTATGGATTATTTTAGATCCAGTTCTCTTAAGAAGTGGTTGTGAAAGGGTTTGAGAAGGCTTGTAATCCAAGCACTAGCTGTAGGGAGCAGCTACTGCTAGCACCAAGGCAGGTGGGAGCTGCTTTAATCTCTGTGCATGACCACCTCTTCTCTTCCCCTTAACCTTCATGTTGTCACCAACACTGTTGTGTTTCTCGGTACTGAAAGTTCTGAGTTTTCTTAAACACTGTGTACTCTGAGCTCTAGCTTGCTGCTGTAACACTACAAACAGCTATGGACGGTAACAATGGCTGATCTTCATTCTCATGTAGTGTTCCTATAGTATGCTGTGAAAAGGCATGAAAGACCCTCTCTTGGTGCTTGGGCTGCTTTCATACCACAAGTAAAGGCTCTAGGCAAAAGCTGGTATTACCCACAATCTCTTAGAAAACTGTGTGGAACCAGCAATACTGATGGCAGTGGCATCTTCTAGGCATTCTCTAGGACCAGCAGTAACTGATGGTAATTTTCTTCCCTTGTAGGTGCATTTGGTTGGTATTGATATCTTCACTGGTAAAAAATATGAAGATATTTGCCCATCAACTCATAACATGGATGTTCCAAATATCAAGAGGAATGATTACCAGGTGAGTTAACAATCACTATGTCCTCCCACACATTAAGAGGCTTTATACTCCTAATACCACACATAAACTCTCTTCATCCCAAAATCTGCCTCAATTAATTAAGTACTGTTGTCATAATTAAGGGAACTTGCCTGTATAGACGTGACGTTGCTGAAATCCGCATTTACTAAATTCTTAAAACTCTCAGGCTTACTGATGGAGAGCTCCTTACTGTACTAATCTCATGTTACAGTAGCATTCTTTAGAAATGACAGGTAATAGACAATTCAGAACTGTGATTTTTCTCTAGTTCATGTTGTAAGGTCACTTCTTTATTCTTTGTGGTACTGGCATCCTTTAGAATTTAGAGTTTATCTCTGCTACGACTTAATATTAGTTAAAGGATAATCAGGATCTTGCTTCAAGTAAATTTGAATCTAAGCATATATTTATATGCTTAGATTCATTTAAAATTCTGCCCTTAAACAGAGTAGATGAAATAACAAGACAGTTTAAATGGCATCTGATGCCAATTCTAACTTGCTACAGTGCTTTCTACTCCTTGTGTGGAATAGTTGTTCTCAAGTAATTTTGGTGCTCCCAGCTCTGTACTGAAATACATGTATGCAGGGAACTTGGCAGACTTCTGTAATGCATTCTGTGATACAGACAGTTTGCTCTTAAAAGCAGCATGGTTCAGGTTCTCAGTTGTAACATATCTGCTATCTTCCCATTGTCTTGGGACTAGTTCTGGCCAGGAACTGATACATCAGCCTCAGCTGGGACACTTCAATTCCTCGACAAAGCCAAAAATCGCTGTGTTAGCAACTCAGAGCTAGTGCTGTTTGAATAAAGTGTGACCAGCCTTGTGCTGGAGTTCAGACCTTCCAGGAGATTCTTAATGTTGGTGATCTTTCATTGTTCTTGAGTCGTCACTGCTTCTGAAATTCTTGCTGTTTATCAGACTTGTCAGGGTTGCCTTTTGGGTTGACAGTTGTGTCTTCCAAGTTCCCTAACCTGCTCTGTTGAAATAGCTGCTACCCTTAGCCCAGCTTTTCAGTTAGGCTGGAAACAGCATTGTAAAAGTGGCCCAGAGCTTGGTGGATGTTCCCTAATTTATTCATTAGCCTTTAATGTAAATGATGGTATCCTGTTGTACAAATGAAGGTATAGAAGTGTACATACAGGTCAACTATTGTGTACTTTGTGTGCTTTGTAAAAGCAGTGCTGTTCAGTGAACAGCATTTCAGTTACTGTTTCTAATTCATAGATGTAAAAAGCTGAACTCATGACCTGGAAGCAGGACCTTTTACAAGGATGGGTTTTGCAGTGCCCTGTGTACTAAGAAGTAACCAGCAGGGTTCTGGTGGTTTTTGATAGCAGACTAGCTTTTGCTACAGTTGCTCTAGATCAGCTCTCTGAGTTGTTGTTAAACATTGACTTAAATTAGGTCCTTAACTGTTACACAGTACTAAAGAATTAATGTAACAGGTGGAGTTGACTGCTTTCTGCTTATCTTCAGCTACTGTCTACTGGTGGCTACTGATGTTAAACTTACTAAAAGTGAAATTCTCTTCACAGCTGATAGGTATTCAGGATGGGTATCTCTCCCTGCTGACAGAAAGTGGTGAAGTTCGTGAAGATCTAAAGTTGCCAGAAGGGGATCTTGGCAAAGAAATAGAAGGAAAATTCAATGCCAATGAAGATGTGCAGGCAAGTATAGATGGCAGACAGGACACATTATGGTTAATTCTGCTTGAGAAGTCATACTTTGATATTGACCACTTGTATCTCTGTGAAGGGTGGGTAGAGAAGCAGGGAAATTGGTTCTTCGAGATGCAGAAGGACTTTTTTTGTACTGGTGCACTCAGTATGGCACTGAAGCCTGGCCCAGTTGTCAATAAGACAATAGGTGTAGCTCTGAAATATCTAGATAAATCCTAACAGTCCTGACCACACAGTGTGGATTGGAGCCTCCAGGCTTTCTTAATTGCTGACAGGTGTAGAGTTTTGTGACATAGTCTGGGTAGTCTAATTTGCTGTTAGCAAACCTGTCTGCAAGTAGCTCTGCAGACTACAGTCTGTGCTGGACCACACCTAGTCACTGTCTAGGCTCTGTTGCAGGAGCTTGTTTCTCTTCCTCTGTGGTATGAACCTCAAGCTGCTGGCCAAGGCAACATGGCAAAGGGAAGGCAGTAGAAGAGCAAATTGGTAGGAAGGGCAGGTACTGTGGATATCTTTCTAATGGCTGAATTTTTACCAGCTTCAGCTTCTGTTTTTCTTGAGAGATGGGACAGATGTTAAAATATGAAAATCTGTAACTTCCTCTGGCAGAGGTTGGAGCTTACTTATTTACCTTGTCTTTTCTTTCAGATATCTGTCATAAGTGCAATGAATGAAGAATGTGCTGTAGCCATAAAGCCTTGCAAATAAAGAGGATCACCAGGCTCGGGCAGCTGCTCAGGTCTGGACAAACCACAGATCTATAAATTTGGTTCCTATTGTCACCAAAGCTCTGGCCTTCACAAGCAACCTCATTTCTTTTTTGAATTGTTAAAAAGCAGTGCTGGATTCTGGATTAGTGTTGCAGGCTAACTGGCAGTTTTCAAAATCACTGAGATTTTAATTCCTTAATCGTAACTATTTTAACATTCCTGTGGGTTTCAGCTATGGATCTGAGAAACCAATCAGGTGTTACTAGTGAATATATTTTTATTTGCTTGAGCAAAACAGTGTTTGTCTGTATGAACAGACAAAATACAGTATTCAGGGGCTTTTAGATAAGCTGGTAGGTATCTAGGATTATAAAGTGACCTAGAGCACAAATAGTATTTTTCTTGACATGTTTAGGTAGAACTGACGATAAAACAATAAAAGTAGCTTTTTTTTTTTTTAATGCTTAAGTATTTTGTGGATTGGGACTCTTGCAGAACTGTAGGTGCCAATCGCAACTTTTAGACCAAGAAACTCAAGTGATCAAAAATGCCAGCTGGCTTGACCAAGCCCCAGTGGCCATGTGCAACTTAACTGTATTACCTCTGTTTTCTTCTTTGCCAACTTGTTGGCTTATTTTGATGATAAAATGGTGTCAAAAGCCTACCTGTGGTTTAGGCAGGCAGTTGGAATATTGGGTAGATGAGACATAGATAGGTCAAGGGGACACAAAGGTGAGAACGGATGTTAAAGCTATAGACTTTCACTCGAGGCCTTTGTCAGACTTGAAAAAATAAAATAGTTCAATTGCTTTCCTTTATTTTATTTATCTTAAACTATAAAAGGGTGACAAGCTCCACGGAAATCTGTTGCAGTGCTTCCAGCTTTAGATTTTAATCTTCAGGTGTAGACCATATTTTTGTAGCACAGGGACCACGGGTTTTCTCAAAAAGTGGGACAAACTGTAGCATCGAGCCTAAACTAAATGCATGTGATTCTTTTTAAAAAATAAAACTATGGTATTTTCAAACTATAGACTTTACAGACAATACTGAACAACCATGGCTTAACTATAAAAGTAAGTAAATTGCTACATAGTTATGAAAGCTAGCTCCCATCCAGAGGCGTTATGAGTCACTGAAACATGCATGCATGCCTCTAGTTAGTAGCTTAATGGGCAAACACAAGGCTTCATAGCAATAGTTAATGGAAGGATAACTAGTGTTCCTGTTTAAGGCGTTCAACTTGAATTCTAAAACTTGGTGACTCTTCATGAGTGGGAAACTCTTAGTCTGTGGTTCAGACCTCTCTTCACAGTTGATAAAATTGCTTCATGAGCTTGCCTTAAGCTTCAGTGGCTGTTGGCTGATTGAGGATAACTTTTAAGCATGTAGCATTCTGCCCTGGATACATGCTCCATTCACAGTGGGCCGTGAAAGTCAGAGGTCATACTCCTGTGAACTGTTTAAAATGTTTTCAGCTTAATAGTATATACTCCTTAATCCCCAGAGGGCTCATGGCAACTGTCCTGAACTGCCCTTGTACATACTATGGCAGGGCTTAGCAAATCTTGGGGGCCTAATGTATATGGCGAAAACATGTGTTTTCTACAGGCTTCTTGTGACAGGGAGAGCAGTACCAGTGAAGGTAAAGACAGCAATAAATATACTCTGGTAATAAAGCACAGTTACCTGGGACACAGAAGTAAGAGACTGCCACATGCTCTTGCCTAGCACAACGCACATTGCAGGTGAACTCTATAAAAACGCCTGGATTGAAATGGCAAAACTGCTTAAAAAAAACACCTGTAGACACAAGAGATTGAGATGCATTCAGAATAGTTTTGACATGCATGCTGAATAGTTCAAGCTAGTCTGCACTGTGCTCCTTTGTTTCTCCATTGAAAAGGTACCTGAAAGACAGGCTCTGTGGGCTTTGGAGGTGATGGTGAAACCATTGATGGTATTGACAGCAAGGTGAGCTGTGTGGGAAGTCATAGGTTGCTATGGCAAACTAATGCAAGTTCTAATGCTATCACTGTATTACAAGTACTTACAATATGCTTGAAAACTGCAAGACTCTGATTTGTCCCTGTTCTGGTAGTGCTTTAGTTTACTTTCAGGTGCCTGTCTGTCCTCTAAAACTTTGTTGGAAGACAGGTATTTGATGCCACTGGCCCACAGTCTGAGCATTAACTTAACCTGCGAGCTCTCCAGGACAAAGGCTGGATTTTGTCCTGTTCCTACAAGTGGGGTTCTGGTCTCACTGGAGTTTACAGGTACTACAGCTATCTAAAGATAAAGGTTTTATGACCTCCAGCTTGCTGGAAGAGCCTTCCTTGGGACTTACAGATGTCCTTCTATTGCAACCTTCAGTTCTGCAAGATTTAAATGATTAAGTACTTCATTATAGGTTTGTTCTTATATACTTAGTTGTCTTTTGTGAAGCACTTCGAACACTATGGAAGTGCAGAGCATTTGCTTGTCATGCATGAAGTTTCCCATAGTTAATAATACATAAGCATGAGTTAAGCATAATCGCAAAGTTTCAGTAAGGTTAAAAGTTGCTTCTAAATTAGAACATGTATTTGAGGCATTTTTTTCCAGAGTAAGATGTTTCAGTTTACTGTCAGAATTGTTTGCAACAAACTTTGTGATCAGTAGTTCATATAGACGCGTATTTTTAAGATCCCTAACCAAATGCTTAGGGAAGTTCTCCTTTCATAGCTTTACTTTAAAACAAATCTTACTGATGTACTTGTTCTGTAGTACTGTCTTAACACTTAAATTGTGTCAAAACTGAAAACTATAATCTTCTAAAACCTGATGGCAATTGCTTAGAGTAAAGACTGTGAAACCTAGGAGGTAAAGAAAACTATTCCCAGTTCAAATAATGCATTTTTTTAATGGCTCCAATTCACTGAGTTTCTCCTACTAATTTACAGAATTGGGAAAACCGCAGTGTTTCCTGCCTCAAGTGTTGGCAAGTAATACATTAAGATTTCAATAGATCCTTCTAATTTTTGCTTATAATGGTGGTTTTTCAACTAGGCTCTTGCTAGTTGAGCCATGTTCTCAGGGCTGTTTTTTTTCTTAAGAAGTTAGCTGAATTTTGTTTTGACGTAACTGCTTTCAAGCCTCTTGCAGGTTTTTCTAATCCACAGTGTATACAGAAATGGTGCACGATCTGTAGTTTCAAAATACAGGTGATTTTGCATAATCTGTAAAGAATTCAAACTTGTTGACAGTTCAGACTCTTATGGTTACTGCAGGTCAGTCTCACAGAATTCAGAATTCAATAAATCCCACTTTTTTTTTTGGTTGAGTAATTAGAATGTAGTTTGTTACAGTAGAACTAAACTTCAGGAGAAAAGGACCTTGTTAAGGATATTTCAAGTATCTCGCTTATACACAGAGAATGTTAACGAAGGTGTTGATCCTGGAGGTGTTGTAGTGGGAGCATGGTGGAGCAATTTGCAGTCTGGTGTGGGCATGCCAAGATGGGCAGAGGCCTCTCCAGCACCTACAGTCTGGCCCTACAGTATTTGGCATCTGAGAGTAACTTGGTTTGTGAGTTGAAACCCGAATGTTTGCTGTGTATTGCTGTATCGCAGAAAACCCCTGCTGTCCTGTGCTGTATATTTAAGCGTTATTGTTTGGTGTGGCTTTCAGAACTCTGGGGAAAGAGGAATGATGGTGATGACTGCTTTTCCTGGTGATGGTGAAAACCAAGCCCTGTAACTGGTGTGAGCCGGGAGCAGCAGCCCTGGTGGTTCAAATGTGTGTGTGTTTTGGAAGCTGTATTGTTTTCAACACCATGCCAATGATCAGGGGAAAGATGTATGTTCACTGTTTTGCTCCAGAACTAATAAAGATGTCAGTGCTGCGGGGATCTGGGTTGCTTCAAGGCTGAGTGCGTCGGCAGGCTCCTGCGCTGACCTGGCTGCAGTGAGAACACTGTTGTCAGCCCACGCGCCCGGAGGAGAGCGGCGCGGCCAGCGGGTTGTTACGAGAGCAAGAGAACCGCTTGCGTTCCTGTCCTACAGAAATAAAATCAGAACTCAAACACACGGCTGCCTCCTTCATTCGATATTGCCGCCCCGCCGCGAGCGTAACATGGCTGCCGAGGGCGGGCTCCCCCTCCCAGCTGCCTCTGGCAGCGCAGGCGCTCTGCGCCGCTTGCCTGCGTGGTGACGTCACCTCCGGGACTATAAAAGCGAGGCGAGCCGTTCGCTTCTTCCTTTCTGCGGGAGCGTGGCGCGGTAGCATGGCACCGGTGAGTGCGGGCCCAAACACAGGGGGCGGCTGGGCCGGGCCGCGGTAGCATGGCACCGGTGAGTGCGGGCCCAAGCACAGGGGGCGGCTGGGCCGGGCCCGGCCAGGCGGTTTGATGACCTCGCCGTCGCCTCGAGTGGTGGCCGGCGGGTCCCGGGCCGGGTGAGCCGGCTGCGGCTAGTCCAGCTGCCCAGGCGAAGGCCCTCTGCCGTGTCCCGCGCTGATAAAAGCTGCTGGTGTGGGTGTTATGGATAATGATGGGTGTTCTTCCGGTGTTCTAGCAAAAGGACAGAAAATCAAAAAAATCCATCTGGAAGTTTTACCTTGACTTGACCCATCCTGTGGAAGATGGAATCTTCGATTCTGGGAATTTTGTAAGTCGTGGTTTGCTCATACTCCTGGTGCGCAGTTTTTATTATAACCTTAGTACGATATCTGGATCCCAGCTCAAAAGTTACATTTTAAATTAGAAAATCAACAGCTGTTCTTTAAAGTATTGGTGCTTTTGAAAGCTTAGTTGTATTTATAGTTAAGATGGCTTATACTTGTCCATGAATAGAACTGTTTTAAATTAAATACTGGTTTAGCCCAGGCGTGACTTCTTTAATTGCACTCTGTAGAATATTACTGCATTGTAAATACTTGCTATCGGGACATCAGTAAATGGTGATTTTTTAATATTGCTATATGGCTAGGGTCCCTTCCCTAGTTCACATCTAGGGTGCCATTCCCTAGTGTTCTATTCCTTTAATGTTGAAACAGGAACAGTTCCTAAAGGAGAAGGTTAAGGTCAATGGAAAAACTGGAAACTTGGGCAACACTGTTCATATTGAACGCCTGAAGAACAAGATCACGGTGACATCCGAGAAGCAGTTTTCTAAAAGGTTGGCATATGTTTCCTTTTGTTGTGGTTGTGATTTTGAGCAGTGGTATATTGAACATGATGTGCTTCAGATACATACAGAGGAGGTGTTGGCTCAGACCTTCATAGTGCTTGTAAATGTTTGTGGAAGACATAATTCAAACAGATCTCTAGCATTAGATACCAAAAAAACCTCTGCTTTTTAAAACTTAGGGCTTGAGTGCAAATTAATACTCTCTAATATAAGCATAGTAATACAGAGATGCTTTGTATATGTTGTTAGAAGTGTATCAAGGAAAGATAGGCTTTTAAAAGCCATGCTGTATTCATATAATGGGTGGCTGTTTCATTACTTGCTTGGTTGTATTAAAACGTATGTGTATGCAGTACATGCTGTTGCAGAAGAACCTGTTGAGTCAGATGGAGCGTTAAACTGCTCAGTGTGTTAGGGTGTGCAGTGGATGTGTGTGCTGATGAGAGGTTCCTTCCTAATGAGCCATTCCTTCCCTGCAACCCCCCTTCATTTGTTGATACAGATACACAAGTATCTGTCCTGTTAGACCAAGGTTTAGAACCACTTCTCAGTGCTTTTGAGTTACTGGCATTGTGCTGTGTAGTCAGAAAGCATCAAATAGCAAATTCATAGGTACCTGGAATGAAAGTACCCTGTTATATATGGTGATTTTTAATGAATGGATATAATCAGTGTGTTGGTCCCCTCCTGGAGCCATGTCTTGAATGGAGCGCAGACAGCAGTAAGGGTTGTTAAACAAGAGAGTTGTAACATATAATTACTGTTTTTAAGGTACCTAAAGTATCTCACCAAGAAGTACCTCAAGAAGAATAACCTGCGTGACTGGCTTCGTGTTGTTGCATCTGACAAGGAGACCTATGAACTACGCTACTTCCAAATCAGCCAAGATGAAGAAGGATCGGAGTCTGAGGAATAATTGAAGCTTAGCTTTGTACTACATGCAGTGTACAAAAGACAAGAACATCTATTTATAAGAATACTTAACTTATTGGTGAATAAAGACTTTGTACCCTGTTTGACAGATCATGGGTATAGTTTTCTAGCCTTTTTTCTAAGTTCTAATTAAAAACCAGCATGGAGAATTTTTTGATTTGCAGTTTTCCTTCCACTGTTAGAAATCAGAGCTGCTCAGTGTGGTGTCAAGAGTCCAAGTAGAAAAGGACTGAGCCCTTCAGCCAGTATGAATGTAGGAGGACAGTGACATCAGTGTTTAACCGTTTTGGTAAAAATAGAGCTTCCTGTGACTGGAAGTACCAGTTTGTTCTGCTAATATATGTGAAGCTAATGAGACAATATTTAGTAAAAGTTTAATTCTGTTTGTTTAAAAACAGGGTTATGAATTTTTATAATAATTTTTTATTCTGTGTGATTTATTCAAGTCTTGAATTGGTTGTAGCACAGTGTTGAAGTCTGGTGTTAGTAATGCTTTATTAATATCATAAAGCGAGGATCCATGTAGGCTCTGATACTGAACTTTAAGCTTGAACAAATCTGCTAGTTTAGGCTGAATTGTGCCAACTAAATTGTTTCATTTTCTGGTGATTTTTTAGTAATTATTTCAGCATTGTTTTTGCTGGCAAATCTCTGAGACAGACTATTTAGAGAGTTACAAAGCACAAAGCAATGCATTGACAGTTGCATGACACCCACTTGCTGTACCTAAATCTAAAAACTACAGAAGGGGAGATGAATGTTAGCAGCAGCCTTAGGGTTTTCTACTTGTCAATGTCTGTTCCTGAAGGGTGGCCCAGGGAGAGGAGAGGAGACAGTAGCGACTTGTGTAATCTTTGCCATATTGATGTGTGTCATTTTGCTGTTTCAGAGCTAGCTAAAAGCAGTGAGTCTAACTGGCAGCAAGGCTAAGGATTATTTCCAAGGTCCTATGTACTGAGCTTTATATGCTTCAGTGGAAATAAAACACCTGAAGTCCTGGCCTGTGATCTGGAGCACTGGATAATGCCAGAGCACTGCCGTGAGTATCCCTATTTGAGAAAAATCAATCAAAGCAGAAAATAAAGGTGGTTATGTTCTTCCTGTTCTGGAAGAACAGAAGATTGCTAATGCTTTTAGAAAGTAGTTATGTAATACAATATAGATAATATATATAACTGTGTAGTTATATAATGCTGCCTGTATTGAGCAGACAGCATTGTTTTCCACAGTAAAGCTACAAATAGTTGAAAACTATCTGGTCTGGTTTTGCTGCACTAAGTTAAGCAAAGGGCATGACTGACAGTTGTATTTCAGAATCCATCCCCACCTGTTTTTTCCATAGTTGAGCTTTTATGTGACAATATATCCTGAATGCTAGACTGACACAGCAAAGCTGCTCTGATTAAATGGAACCAGCACAAACAAAATTGGAGCTAATGGAATCATGTTGCCTAGTTGTTCTTCCTCCTAAAGCAGGCTGGCATCTACCCATGTAGTTGTATGGCCCAGCAGATACAGATTGTCTGTAGTCAAAAGACGCGAAAACAAGGCCTGGGATTTCAAGCAAAGCTACTCATTTCATAGCTGGGGTTGGAGGAAAACTGCCAAGGCAGTCATGTGTGTTGTATTACTCACTGAGCTTCACTGCAGTGACGATGGAGTCTAGGAATTCCTTTTCTGATGCTTGACAACATGGAAAACTTGAAAAACCAAATTCCAAGTTTCTTGTAAGTGTGGATCCAGCGTGTTTTCATAAATTTAGAAACCTTTTCCTTCCTGCATCTTCAGATACCAGTCAAGCATCTTTGTTTTATTGCTGTGTTGTCCAAGCTGTGATAGCTGTATCCTGAGGCCTGTCTGGCTCTATGCTTCTGAGCGTGCAGGCTGTTAGAGCTTTCTCGGGCAGTTAGGGATATTGAGTCATGGGAAATCAGACAAGCTCTGGAAAACACAGTGATTCTTTCCTAACTTCATGTATTTCACAGCTGAAGGGGGCAGATGTAATGCAGGTGGCAGGCAGGAAACAGACCTTGTTCGCATAAAGTAATTAATACTATAAAATTAATGCTATAAAATAACCAGTTTTGTTCATCTTTGTTTAGAAAGTTAAAAGATCCTGAACAGCTTGAAAACCGACAGAATTGACAGAATTTTCCATATTTAGTGCTGGACAAGAGCCCAGAAAAGCCCTGCTCGGAGGACTGGGCTGTCCTCATAGCTGCAGAGACACGCTCCTGTGTCAGCCAGGCAGTGAAGCTGAGGGAAATACAATGCACCCACAGCATGAAGGCTTCACAGAGAACCAGGGCTGCTGCAGAGTTTAGTCCCCAGGGCTACATAGTAACATGCTCTGGGTGCTTTAGGATTTCCAAAAGGGATAAGCACAAAATGCAGCAGGAAGGAGTGAGTTATGGAACACCACTCTGATGCACCTCCACCCAGCTGAGACCCCTAGTCCACCAAGCCAGCACTTCAATTTGCAAAGGAATAATCATTGCAAAGCACCAATTGAACCGGTAGCACAGCAGATGGGCCAAGGCCAACACCTGCGAGCTCAGGGCTCAGGAGAACAGTGTCACTCTAACTTTTACATGGCTTTAATACAGCAAATTTTTTCAAAAATATGTTAAAATATATTAAAAATATGTCTATATTCTCACCCCTTTTTCATTTAAAGTTTCTCCATTTCATGTAAAATACTTTCACTGCTCTCCTCCAAACAAAACAAGTTTATGAGAGACCTCCCACACATGGAAAATTTCAATGTCTGGCAAATAAAAAAAAAAAAGCAAACAAATTTCTAAGCCTAAGAGCTACACGGCTGTTGCCAGAGCAGCAGCACCACCACATAAGCTGCTTATTATGAGCACACAGAGATGTTCTTTTTCTTCACCATCAGTCTCCATCACCCTTCCTGCAGCAAAACTATCACTGATTTCCAGTAAAGAAAGAGCAACAAAACCCACAGGATGTCACCAATCGTAACACCACTAATAAAAGGTACTTCTACATGTTCTTGTATACCCATATGCTTTCTGTCCGTCTGCCCTTCTCACCTATAGACCCAATGAAAACCAGCTTTAACATGTACCCAAAAGCAGCAGGATCAGAAATAAAGAGGTAAATAATAGCAGGAAATACGTGAAAAATGTTTTGGGGTACTATGTCTACAACAGACCCAGCATGTGTCGGATATTGAAGGAGGCACAGACTCAACATATTCACATAACATCAGCTCAAAGTAATTGGAGACAGAGAGGCCTGTGGAAAAATAAATAATAATGGCTTCAATGTACCCAACAGCAGGAAGCAAGCTTCAGTGGTGGGAGTGATCCAATTACACCAAATAAAGACAAAAACACATAACAATTATTTCTTTTTAAAGATAAAAAGAAAACCCTGAGATCAGAAATGTGCAGATCTAAAAGGCCTTACAATATTGAAAGTAGTCTTTGTCCCATGAGCTTTAATAGCTATGTCAGATGAAGTGTCTTGTCTGATCCCAGTCCCATGAGCAAGGGTCTGTGATTGCCATTAGCAGGTAACGACTGATACCTGTCACAAGGACCACTCTGAGCAGTTAGATTCATAGGCGCAAAAGCCATAACACAGTGCTGCGAAAGCCAGGAGAAGGAGAAACATAAGTCAGAGGCACCAAGGAAGCTCCTGGGGACACATGGAAAGACCCTGAGGTGGAAGAAGGTGGCATCAAGACAAGCTGGAGCAGATGTGCGCCCCCAGACAAGGCTGGCTGGGAAACACTTCAGCCATCAGCATGTTACTGCCTGTGATGGCAGGTCCTCCAGGGAGAGCTCATGTGAGCCAGTGCTGCACAGTGTGGTCACCCACCCTTGCGGGCAGCACAGAGCTGCAGGGGCTCGGCAGGGATTTCTGTAAGCAATATCCTATTCCAGCATCTAAATCCAGCAGGCATCTCCTGCTGCTAGCCTCCGGATTGCTGCCCAGCTGTCCCACCGACACACAAATGCCTAATTCCTGTGGCGCGTACATTTTTGGCAGGATGCTGCCATAAAACCACTTCCATGCTTGCCTTGGCACCTCAGCTGCTATTTGAGCCCTAACTCGTGCTAAAGCTGCTGCTTGAGGGAAATGCTGTTGCAGAGCACAGACCATAGGTGGGAGGAGCAGCCAGGGCCAAGCTGCTACCAAATGGCCCAAACACCCTTCAGGCATCTATAACATGACCCAAACACCCTTCAGGCAGGATGCTGTGAGGCCCTCATGGAGGCAGTTGGGGGGGGAGGGAGGGGGGAGTCGAAGGGAGGTGTTTTCATGTCCCCTTCAAGCCTGGAAACTGCAGCTTTTGCCCCTCTATCCCTTTGCTCTGGGGGCTAATAGACTCACGAAGTGCCAAAGAGCCACCAGCTGGGAAAGATTTTCCATTGCTGTCCATCCATGCTGAATTTAAACAAGCGCTTGAAAGAGAAATGTTTTAAAAGCCTAGTAACAGATCTTTTTTGTTGTTGTTTTTTTTAACTAGGTAGTTTAACTTGGCAAGACAGTTCAAACATCCCATCCCACAACAGTGAGCACTAAGCGTGATTTAAGTCTTACCTTTGTTACAATGTTCTTGCCATCAGGTTAGGAGTTTGGTTGGGATTTTAAATGGGAACGTGGGTCAAGGAGCATTTTTTTTACACAGTGGCCTGATCACTGTGCCAATGTTCCCCATGCACTGACAGGATGCTTTGAGCCAAACCTGCAGGTGCCAGAGCTGACAGCATCAGGATCTTCTTAATTGCTGGCAGTAGGTCAGGAAGATGGAAGATGGCACTAAATAATAAGTACAGTAAGGTGCACAAATAGCAGAATCGAAAGCAAATGACTAAAATGCATTAGTTTGATGCAGAAGGGCAAGATGCTTCAGGGTGCAGCGCTGCTGCCAGCTCTGGTGGGAGCCACCCCAGCTGCCCCTCTGCTCCTCAGCAAGGACAGATAAGGGGTGTTCAAACATCCTTCTTCCTAACTCGGTAACATTTCCCAGCAAAGCTGCATTCATCAGTCTTCACCCTTTCAGCTCATTTAGAAAATATTTACACTGCTGGAAGATAACAGCCCTGAGACAGGGGTAGCTTTGCTGACACAGCAGGCTGGGAGCTTCCAAGCTTCCAAGCTTCTCCCCAGCAGCT